TTTATTCTCTTTATTCTCTTTATTCTCTTTATTCTCTTTATTCTCTTTATTCTCTTTATTCTCTTTATTCTCTTTATCGTATTCAAACCTTTTTGCCGCGATGATTATTTCCTTAGAGGATTTATTAGTTAGATCAGGATTTTGTTGTAAGAATTCCTCATTATCTTTGACTGAAGCAAGTAATGCCTCTACTTTTTCTTTATCAAAGTTGGGAATAGAGGAGAATTTATTTACTAATTCTTCAGTGATTTCTATTTTAGGAGGATTAGATTTATCTTCTTCTTGTTTTTGGGGTCGGTTTATGGAAATTCAAGCATCAATTAAGCCTTTTAGATATTCTACTGTGGCAGGGTATTGATTGAATTTTTTATTAGTGAATCTTTCTTCTCAATAGGGATCTAGGACTTTTTCTAAGTCAACATCTATTATTTCTTTAGTTATTCAGTAGGATTTGACTGATGAGATAGATTGTTCTAAGAGGGTTTTTTTGAGGGAGCGTTGGTCTTCTTGGTTGAATTGTTGTTTTCACTCTTGTGCTTTTTCTTGGTTTTGTTGGGTTCGGCGGGTGTTTTCTTCGAGGATTAGTTGGGATTTTTTTTGGGTGTATAGATTGTTAACTTTTTGCTCTTTTACTTTATAAAGAGAGTGATTTTTAATGGCGGCAAAAGCTGCTTCTAATTGTTGAAAGTCCTTGGCATCGTTTAATTGGCTTATGAAAGTATTTATTGCTTTGAGTTTAGGTAAATGTTTTTTTCAATTTCTGCCAACAGAACTGGCAAGTTTGTTTCCCATTTTTTGGAAAAAAATTTTTCTAATGCTATTTAAAACATTTAAACGATAGTTAAATCAAGGAACATCGTTGTTGTCTACGGTTAAAACTCGTAGTTTAGGGAAGTTTTCTATTTCTGATTCCGGAATGGGTTCTTTGTTACAAATAAGCCTTTCTAGGTTGGGGCAATCTTCTAGTTTTGTTTTAGTTTTTTTATCATCTTCATCTTCAGAATTTTCAATGTCAAAATATTTTCCTAGATGTTGGTCACTGTAATCTAAATAAGTTAGTTTACTGCATGCTTTTACTTCTAAAGAAGTAAGGTTACATAATTTACAAGAAACAAATTCTAAGTTTTTTAAACCATCAATGTCTAGTTTTTTAAAGAGGTTTTCAGCACAGTCTAACTCTATCAAATTTTCACAAGTATTTAGACCTGTTATTTCCTTTAAACCAGAACAACCTAAAATTACACCTCCTGAAATTTCAATTTCACAATTATTGGCACAATACAATTCTTTTAAGTTCTTTAAATTAGTGACATTTAATCAATCCTTTAAATTACACTTAAAACAATACAAACTTTCTAAAGCTTTTAGGTGGTTTACTCATAATTTTTTAATCGGATTATTATCACAAACTAGGTGCTTCATTTTTTTGTTATCAATAAGTTCTAATTTCTTCAAAAGGTTACCAGAACAATATAAACCTTCTAGGTTAAGTAAAAACGCTACATCGATCTCTTCAATTTTATTATGTCTAAAAGATAAATATTCTAACTTGGGGCAATTTCTAATTGTTAATGCCCCCAAGCCACAATTATCCACATTCAAATGAGTAAGATTAGGGCAGTTTTTGATTTCTAATTTTCAAGGCTCTTCTAAATTGATCTCACTGGCTAAATTACTGATATCAATTTCAGTAATTTCGTGATTATCAACGAATTTATTTTTATCAAGAAAGTCGTCAATACTCTCGAATCCCTCAAATTTCCGGGAGTTTTCTCTTTTGCTCGGTAAACCCAAATCTAACTTCTTTTTTTCTTCCTCAGAGAATTTATTACAGTGGCAAGGAGCATTTGATTTACAAAGACAAGGTTTTTTGAGACAATCTTTTTCCTCACAGCAATAAGAAAGTATCTCTAATTTTTTTAGTTCACTGACATCTAATTTGGTTAACTGATTAAAACTAGTATACAAATCCGTTATTTCGGGGCAATCTTTGATTTCTAAATTAGTTAGTTTGTTGTGTGAAACAATTACTTCTTCTAATTTAGGGCAATTCTTTATCTCTACATCTTCTAATTCGTTATTACCGAGATTTAGCGACACTAGATCGGGAAAGCCTTCAATAATGAATTTTCCTTTTAAATCCTGTCAACTTAAATTAAGATTTTTAAAATTCTCCTTATTATGTTCAAGACCATTTAATTCCTCTTTAGTGTGTCTTTTTCTGTGTTTTAGTCATTCTTCTAATCAGAGTTGGTTTTCTAGTCCGTGGAATTCTGTTGGCATGATATATTTCTTAATTTTTTATTATTCTTATCAGATAAACATATATACAATACACATAGAGAGAGAGAGAGAGAGAGAGAGAGAGACGAAGTCTCAATTGCTTTACATCATTACTTTTTATCGATCTTCTATAATCACTTCATCATTTACATCATATATTTTATATTTTACATATTTTACTATTTCAAAACCTCAACTTCATCTCTTTTTTTTTTTTTTTTTGCGAAATTCAAAAAAAGAAAATAATCCTATTTCACCAAAACCAAATCCACTTTAAAAGTCATCTTTCTAAATCCTCCCCATTATTAATTTTAAA